AGTGTTAGGATTACAGGCGTGAGCCACTGCGCTTGGCCTAGGGTCTGTTTGTTTTTTAAACAAACAAACAAAAAGTTAACGAATTGAGGTTTCCATGTATTTTTAGTCTGTCAGCAGCTACCATTGTAGAAGGTAAAGTAAGGAAATGTTTAGGTTGTAAACAGAAATCAACATGGGTCTATTTTATTTACCTAATTCTTGATGGATATCGGGCTGTTGACCACTATTAGTAACATCAGTATGTATCTCATTTGTTTCAGTTATACTGCCAGTATTATAGCTACGTTTAAAGCAAAAAGTTTCCCATGTCACATTTTTTTCAATATTTTCTAATGTTTCTCTTCATGTCTGCTGAAATGGAATTTACTCCAGGTTTCCATTAACTTTGGGCCGTGCTTCAAGTATCCTCCAAAGGACCTCACTTACCGCCCCGTGAGTAACGTTAAAATGGCCGCGTGCGTCCTCAGCGTCTTTGTTTCTTGCTGCGGCTGCCCTAGTCACCCTGTCCGCCTCTCGTTCCTCCTGCAGATGAGCGACATGGGCTGGGGCGCGGTGGTGGAGCACACGCTGGCCGACGTCTTGTATCACGTGGAGACGGAAGTGGATGGCAGGCGCAGTCCCCCGTGGGAACCCTGACCGGGTCCTGCCTTCTTTCCAGACACAGACTTTCTGGGGAGGAATACTGGGGTTTCTGTTACTGTTTTCGAACTGTCTCAAATGTTCTTCCAAAGATGCTGCAGGACACAGCCTCTCCTTTTAGCAAGTCAGAAGGCTGGACAGGACGGGGAGGCTCGCTGCCCTTCGGCATCCTCTCCCCTCTCCAGCCACTGCTCTTGCTTTGTGTGCCATACGCCAACAGCTGCTGACCCGGGACCCGCGAGCTCCCTGTGCAATTGGTGCTGTACCACACACCCTGCCAGCTAGGTCTTGTCACCTCTCTGTATTTTCTAAGGAGTGAATAATCTTGTCCAGATGACTAACTTATTGAAAGACGTTTCCTTCTGTGGGCATTGACTCCATCTTACCTGTTCTCCAAGGAAGCGGTAGGCCTGTTTCTGAGAACAGCCGAAATCAGTCACTGTACATTCCAGACCAATCTAAGAGTTGTTTCCTTTTGGTGTGGGTTTGGCTTTGTTATTAATTTTGAAATATACTTTTGAACACTGGGATCTCGGAAACGGCTAGATCTCTAGAACTGTAATTGTGAAAGAACTTGCTTGCAGCTTTAACAAAATGAGAAACTCTTCCAAAATAAAACTTGTTTTGAGGTTTCTGTGGCACTTTGGCTCCCTTCAGGATGGGTTCCTCTTGGTGACGGTGTCAGAAATGTGGGCGGTGTGAGGAAGGGGGGCCAGCATGGAAAGGAAGAGACAGGTTTCTGTCTTGTGCCTCTGCCACGCTCCTGTTGGTCTCATTCTCGCCAGCCAAATCAGCCACCCCGTTTATTCTGTAAAAACTGGCACCTCGAGGAGGTGATGTTTATGGCCCCCCTTCAGCTCTTCTCTTTGAACATGAGTGTTGGTAAGTGCAAGTAATTTTCCTGCCTTGCTTATCTGCCTCCGTAATAGCTGGCGATTAAAGGCAGTTTTTAGAATATTAAAAATTGGGCCGGGCGCGGTGACTCACGCCTGTAATCCTAGCTCTCTGGGAGGCCGAGGCGGGCGGATTGTTTGAGCTCAGGAGTTCGAGACCAGCCTGAGCAAGAGCGAGACCCCGTCTCTACTAAAAATAGAAAGAAATTAATTGGACAACTAAAAATATATAGAAAAAACTAGCCAGGCATGGTGGTGCATGCCTATAGTCCCAGCTACTCGGGAGGCTGAGGCAGGAGGATCGCTTGAGGTTGCTGTGAGCTAAGATGACACCACGGCACTCTAGCCCAGGCAACACAGTGAGACTCTGTCTAAAAAAAAAAAAAAAAAAAAAAATTGGGGCTGTATGCAGTGCCTGTTATCCCAGCACTTTGGGAGGCTGAGAGGAGAGTATCAATTGAGGTCAGGAGTTTGAGACCAGCCTGAGGAAGAGCGAGACTCCATCTCTACAAAAAATACAAAAATTAGCTGGGCACGGTCTTGCTTGCCTAGAGTCCCGCTACTTGGGAGGCTGAGGCAGGAGGATCGCTTGAGCCCAGGAGTTCGAGTTCACCCTGAGCTGTGGTGATGATGCTATTGCACTCTAGCCAGTGTGATGTAGTGAGACCTTGTCTCGAAAAAAAAAAAAAAGTGTAAGAATGAAGCTTCTCTTGGGATTCATTGGCATCTTTCCTGTCTCTCTTTTTAAATTCATCAGTCTTGTGGCTAATGCAGTCCTCCCAGCATTGCCCAGAGCCTCTCCTGCTAGAACTCTCCACCTAGGTAACAGGTAGAGTGGTTCAAGTAGGTGATAATGTTGCTGCAGAATCACCATACGTTACGCCTGTGGCTCTTCTGAATATCTTACTGTCATTTTTCTGTTTAAGAAAGTTCCCAAATTTTAAGAGAATATTGGTATCTTAACACAGTAGCACTAACATATTTGTCGCTGAATGAGTCACCCAGACTCTTCAATTTGGCCATTCCATATCTCTTCACAGGAAACCTAGCACAATCAGTATTGATCATAGGCCAGAGTCTCAGGTCTAGACACCTGTTAGTTCATGGGCTGATCAAGGGCAGACCTAGTTATGCAGCTTCTAGATCATCAGAGTTTGAGGGACTCCAAAACAACGAGGGTGGGGTTATTGAGAGGAAGTTGGAGGTAAATGCTTTGTAATATAAATTACCATCTATAAGTTGTACGTATACCCGCTCTCCATCTGAATTGTAAAGTTAGGTTTTTGTGCATACTTGGGTTCTCATAATCAGAGGTTACAGAAATAATGCTGTTCTTGTTTAAAGTTCACATCCAAAAGTGTGTGTTTTAATAAGGTTCATTTGAAGGGCTCAGAGAATACTTATTTTTCATACAGTCCTATATAAAATAGTTTCTGTAATCACATCATCAGTGACAACTTGCTTTATTCCCATGTAAAACTAAACAAGTGGGAAAATATCTCCACGGCAACCACAAAGACACAGTTACGTAGTTTGAAGGAGGTGAGTCATAATCCAGTAAACGAGCGTTTGTCGAAAGCCCATTTCTTCACCATCAGCCTGTTCTCTTCAAATTAGAGTCTATGTTGCTTTAACATATCTTTAAACGAGTAACCATTTTCTCTTAGCTGGTGGTGGAGGGTAATTCTGTTCTAGAAATACTTCTCTACAACTGTCCCCTCTGAACTTTGAGGCTCTTGGATGAACAATTTTATCCATGACAAAAATAGACTACTCTAAGAAACAATCAGAATAAATTATAATAAATATCTCTATCAGTTGCAAAATGTTAATACCTCAATAAATACCAGCATTCCTACTACTACTGCTATTTTGCTTAATAAGCTAGAGCTCTGTTTCCAAATGGTGTAAATCATCAATGCTATGAAAATTAGAATGGAAAAGCTTTGGGTGGTAATGGTGATTTTTTCATCCTACTTAACATATTTTAGCAAAGTCATCTCATCCCAATTTATATTTTAAAGCATAAGTTCTCTGAATCCTGGGAAAAGGAATTTGCTATCACCATATTACCCCTTCTTCCAGCCACTTCTCCAAAAATAGTAAAATTTTAACATATTCAAGCAGGAGAGTTGGCAACCCCAAGCCCAGTTGACAGCTGTGGAATTCTGCTACTAATTGGCATCATAAATAATGGAAATGTTAGATTTATCTTAGTAGTAGTATTCATTCTCTTATTTGGTACCATCCTTCCTTTTAATTAGGTAAATAAAAATTATCAGTTACAATTTAATCTTCCTGGCCCATTAGTCAGCTATTGGTTATAGAGTTCTTTTAAGAACTGACTTGAGTTTATGCTTATCATGGAAATTACATTTTTATGAAGAATTCTGGTAACAAATCCTAAATAATTAAGTGACATAAATCTCTAATAGTTTCTTTTAATGAGCTAGAGGATTTAGTTTAATTAAAAGCTTTGTCCTTGGCCGGGTGTGGTGGTGCACACCTGTAATCCTAGCACTCTAGGAGGCCAAGGTGGGAGGATCGCTTGAGCCCAGGAGACCAGCCTGAGCAAGAGCGAGGCCCCATCTCTACTAAAAATAGAAAAATTAGCTGGGTGTGGTGGCGCGTGCCTATAGTCCCAGCTATTTGGGAGGCTGAGACAGGAGAATCACTTGAGCCCAGGAATTTTGAGGTTGCTGTGAGCTACAATGATGCCACTGCACTATACCCAGGGTGACAGAGTGAGTATCTATGTTAAAAAAAAAGCTTCTGGGACTACTCTAGTATGAAGTTGTAATCCAAGAGTAGAATTTTAAAACAGGTCCAGACTAATGTTTTTGTGTTAATTGTGACTCTTTATTCTGACTGGTGCTTAGGGAAGAAGTAGAGAAACCAGTCCAACAATGAGCTTTGTAGTTTTCCATGGAGAAAACTTGGGCTGTATTTCTGGCAGGTGCCGGCTGTGGGCAGCTGCCTGTTCTTTGGTGTAGCTCTACTTTGGGCAGGAGCAGAGGGTTGCTGGAGCCGCCTTTGCGAGACTCCGCTTTGTCCACACACACTGCCGTAGCGAGCAGCGTTCTTGAGCCCATAAGTCAAGATTTCCCAATCCCTGTAGTTAACATCCTCCACATCCACTATCAGCCGTTAGCACGTTTAAGACGTTTTAGGTGGACATGTGAGGGCCCAGAAAAAAGTTGTACAAATATTTTAGGAGCCTTAACCTTCTAAGTCTCCCGAACAGCTAAGCCATGAATGAAGTTACCTCTTTGTCTAAGAGCCTCATCCCTATTTTCTTGGTACTAAAACCTTTACCAATCTGAGTCAGTCCTGGTATCATACTCCACCCACCCCATCCACTATCACCAGGTAGAGATCTCAGACAGACGTGCAGGCTTCCACAGGGATTGTCCTAAGGAGCACGCAAACCAATGCAGCTGGGCACAGCTGGAGACAGCAGGCTGGTCTTCAACACCTGGCTTCAGAGGCAGGGCTGGACTCCAGGTGCTTGCGCAGGTGGTTGGCAAAATCCACCTGGGTCTGTGACAGGACCTGGTTGATGATAGTCTTTGGCAGCCACCCCTGCAGCAGAAGATAAGAATTTGACCATCTGGGGGTGATGTTGTATGCTAGACACCTTTGCACTCTATCACAAACTTAGGTTGCCTGGGGCTTGGTCTTCAGCTCTGTTTATAGATGCAACCTCGGAGTTGACCAGGGTCAAGGGCTGGGGGACTCACTGCTGCCCTGGTGTCAGGACAGCATCAAGCACAAGATTTGCTGTTAAGACAAATTTCAGTCCTCTCTTCAGCTGAGTGACCCTGAGCAAATTATATCCCCCTCGTCCCACTTAAGATCTCTGGGCCTGAATTTCCTTCTTTCTGAAATGGTAGCTGCAGAATTGAACTTCACTGTGAGAGCTCAGAGGGAGCTGGCGCAGGCTTTTGAGACGGGTGGAATAGCAATTAGGCCGTCACGCATGTCCCCTGCCTGTGGTTCTGTCAGAATGGAATAGGGTTCTTTTGTCCCCTGTGGGAGGGGAAGAGCCTGTGTTCTCACCGCCTCCCGCAGCCGCCCCCACGCCCCGCACCTTGAGGTCAATGCTGAGCAGCCAGGTGAGTTTGGTCTTGGAGGGACTTCCAGCCAGGGGACGGAGCACCATGCAGGTAGGGCCGTGCTCAGCTCTGGCGAATGAAGAGAAGTCACGTCAGGACAATCTGAGCTCTCTCCTATGCTGACTAGTTAAACTAGCCACATTTCTAGAGCACTTTGTCTTTTTTCTAAATCTCATCAGGGAAGTGCCCTTCGCCAAGGCTATTAACAGGTGGCATGGCCACCAGCTCATCAGAACAAACATGGCTGTCGCTGGAGTGGAACCTGGAGGCCTGGAGTGCCCTCTAGTTGCTAGATCACAGGGGCTGGGTGAAGGATTCCAGGTGGTGGCTGGGGCCTTGGGAAACTCAGGCAGCCGCGGGGTTCCAAGTGGCGTGGCGACCGCGCATACCAGCTGAACCTTTCTGCCCTGCCCCTGGCTTCAGAAAATGAGTAAGGTTCTTGAACCTTGGGAGGGTCAAGGCAAACTGGCTGTTGAAGTAGGGCCAATCTTGTCCCTCTCCCCTACTTTGTAAATGAGAGTGTTCTTTTGTAAAAGGAAGCCCAGGGTAGGAACCAAGGGGCGGTTCCTTGGAGCCGGGGGTTCAGACCTTCACACGCATGCGGGAGCGCCCACAGTTAACATGCCCATGTTAGAAGAGGGGAGTTTGGAGCCTGCTGCCTGTATTACCTGATGACACCTTTCTGCTCAGGCATCTTCCCGAACTGCGTGGCCATGCCAGCCAGCACGCAGGTGGAGCCTCGGCGCTTGGCGCAGCGCACGCTCACAAAGTCGCGCGGCCCCACCAGGTTTCCTGCTGCTTCTGCAGCCAGCTCGTGGGTGATGACTGTATCTTTTCCAATCTTCTGCAGGACCTGCCGGGCCACAGGGAGCCAGAGTCACTGCTCAGCCGGTGCTGGGGCTGAGCACCACCCACAGCTGGAGGGCCCCTTTGGCCCGCCACTCAGACTGGGCTCTCCTGGGTCCCTGCCACCCACACCCGGCCTTTGCTCACCTTGATCTCCTTGACATTCGGGTTCCACTCGCCCATCGCCTCCATGCGTTCCACAAGCTCTTCGTAGAGCCTCTCCATGGGCTGGTCCACCACCACCTCCAACCGGAACACCTTGCCCACGTCGGGGACCACTTTACTCAGCACTTTGTCCCCATTCGCCTGTCAGGGAGAGAAAGGAGCCCCAGGATAAAGGTTAGAGGAAAATACTCTTAGCCTAGCAATTTCAGACAACAGCAGCCAAGGGGTGTGTGGGGGTGGGGAGCAGACAGCAAAAGGAACTCCAAGCCAAGCGTGAGGACACCTGGGACTCGATCCGATTGAGTCGGCGGTCACTGCTGCCACAAGCCTTGCACATCTGCTGAAGCCTGGGGGAGGTGACCTGCTGCCCTCAGACCTTTTTTTTTGGTGGCGAGTGTTTGTGGCATGGTTAGGTCCAACCGAAAAGACCCATATTTGACTTAAGAAGCTCAAAGATCCTGAGAGACATACCTGGAGTGGGAAAAGTCTGGTATATAATCAGCTTAATTATACGTGGGATTATATACACAACCAGCTTAATTATCCACAGAATGATGGGTGAGATCTTAGAGATTTGTTTTAGTTCAATACCTCTTTTCACATCAGCAGGATGTAGGGCCAGAGAAGGTTAGTAGTTTGCCCAGGAACCCTTAGCTAAGAGCGGTGCTGGCCTAAATCCCAGGTTTCTTGTTTCTTTTTTGGAGACGGAGTCTCACTCTGTTGCCCCGGCTAGAGTGCCGTGGCGTCAGCCTAGCTCAAAGCAACCTCCAACTCCTGGGCTCAAGCGATCCTCCTGCCTCAGCCTCCCAAGTAGCAGGGACTACAGACATGTGCCACCATGCCCGGCTAATTTTTTCTATATATTTTTAGTTGTCCAGATAATTCCTCTCTATTTTTAGTAGAGACGGGATCTCGCTCTTGCTCAGGCTGGTCTCGAACTCCTGAGCTCAAACAATCCGCCCGCCTTGGCCTCCCAAAGTGCTAGGATTACAGGCGTGAGCCACCGCGCCCGGCCAATCCCAGGTTTCTTGACTCCCAAACCAGTAGTCTGTTGATTCCATGTCTTTGAGAACTTGGGAAAGAGAGGTTTTGCCTGAACTTTGGGTAACAGGCAGCATGTAAGATTTCGCTGAAGATAAAGCCACCAAAGTCGCCAACAGCAGAGCCACTGGCCTTTGCCATATGCCTTGTTACTGGCTCCCAGCAAGGGGCAGTGCCCAGGAGCAGAGAACCCCAGAAGGCCTTGGGCCCCCTTTTAGCCTGGCCCTGTTGCAGGGTGAGCCCAGTCACCCCTGTGAGCTCAGGCACGAAGTGGGCTGGACAGCACAGACAATGCCCTCGGCGCTGTGGGAATTCTGACCCAGGGTGACGCCGCCTCTAGTGCGCGTGGAGTCCCCATTGCACAGCCTCTGCTAAGTGGATGTACGGTGTATTTCGGGGGGAGCTAAGGATTCAGGAATAGTGTTTCTCGAGCAAGAGGCTCCAAGATGCCTCTCACGGGGGAAGAGGGTATCTGAGGATATGTTCTTGGGAAGGAGTTCTCAAGTTCAAACCACCTGCTGCCCCAGGACTACTGCGTGAGGCAGGAATTCAGAGAAGAGCAGCGACCCCAGTGGCCTTGAGGGTGGCAGCAGAACAGTGAGGAACCGCAGCCTTCTCCACACCTGCGCCTACCTGCTGGGTCTCCTTCTTCCAGCCCTCCTGATTGCCGAGGATGTCCAGGGCTGTCTGCATGGCCTCCTCCCCCTGCCGGAGGTAGGCCAGCTCCTGGTCACTGTAGAGAGTCTCCTCCAGCCGAGAGCCTGATACACAGTGAGGAGAGACAGGTCCCTTCAGGCTAGGAGACTAGAAGGGACCAGCTCCCACCAGCTCTCCTCTCTTCGATCCCTGGATTTGCTCTTGCCTCTGAAGAGTCAAGACCAAACCCACCGGGCCCAGCCTGCAGGTCAAGGTAGACACAGCAGCTGAAGGCGACAGGGAGGGGATCTGGCCTTCAGGAACTCTAGCACGGGAACGTCCTCCCAGAGGGAGGAAGGGCAGGAGGGGGGCCAGAGCCACATGGACAACATTTGCACCCCGGGAGCCTCCTGCCACTTACCAAGCAGAGAGCTGCGCCGCCGAACCTGGTTGATCCACGTGCCAGGGGTCGGGCCCCCCAGGGCCCTCCGGTTCAGCTCCTGGCCAATGGCCAGCACAGCCTGCTGCCTCAGCCCTGCAGGGAGGCAAGAAGCCACCGTCAGGCCATTCCATCCCCTCAGCTTGTCACAGACGAGGACGCTGGCTTGGAGATGGCAGTGACTTGCTGAGGAACACACAATCTGAACCGGAGCCAGGTCCCCAACTCCCAGAGCTTGTTACTACGCGGCACCAGGCTGCCTGTAACGCCCAGAAATCAGCCTTCCGCCTGGTGTGGTCGGGCCGGGCCCCGCCGGGAGACGGGCTGCCCCAGAGCCTGCTGGAGTTTCTCTGCTTTTGTCCGAACAACTGGAGAAACCCTACCGCAGCAGGAGAATGACACCCGCTCCTGAGGTCCGTGGGCGCCGGCAGCCTCCACTGCACGAGCGGCCGCTCAGCGTGCAGGTGAGTCCCTTTGACTTAGGGAGGACAGCCCCACTGCCAGCCACAGCTCTGCCAAGCACGGGCCCGTCTAAACCGTAGCTAATTCAGCCCAGTGCGAGTGGAAAGGACTTGTCTAGATTGGTTTGTGTACCTTTTAATGGTAGCAGGGGCTTGACTCAAGTGACTCTGGGTCCTAATCAGCTCTGCAGAAGTGGCCTCTTGTCACTGGTCCCTGCCTCTTCCTGGCTGCGCAGGGATGACGGGCGTCCCTGCCTCACCGGAGTCTCTCTTTACCTGGTCCTGCTGTCTTACGCCTCCCTCCCCTGTCCTTTTCTTCCCGCTTCCTGCTTGTGGAGTCAAGACTGACTCTGCCTCTTCCCCTGTGGGCGAAACCTTCCTGCTACCCTCGGTCCAAGCCTCGTCCAGCCCTGAAGGAAGGGAAATCAGCGATAGTTCAAGAAAGCCTGGCGCCCTGGCAGGGAGACTAGAAATTGCAGAATCTCGAAGGGACATCTTAGTGTCCAGCCCGATTCTTCAGGTGGGGAAACTGAGGTCTAGAAGGGAAGAGACTTGCCAGCGACCCCCCCCCGTATGAGGCACAACTGGGATCAGAACGTGGGGGGCCTGCCCACCACCCCAGTACTTTCCCCCCCCATATTGCCTGAGAGCCCCTGGTGAGCACCCATGGCGCCTCCCACCCCGGAGGACTCACCCTTCATGTTGCGCACGTGTCTATAGGAGCTCCCGGCGCACAGCTTAAATGTTGCCAGCAGCATCGTTTGCAGCAGATGGGGCAGTGGCGGGGCTGCGGCTGCTGCCTGCGCACCTTTGCTCTCAGGGCTGGCTCCTTGTTCCTTCTGAGCCCCTCTGGGTCCTGCATTTTAAATATCTCCAGCCGAAGGCTGTGCTTCATCACCGGGAGATAAAAAAGCCATCATTCACTGTGCACAGGAAAGGGTCAAGGGTAGAGCGGTTGCCTCACACCGCTGCTGCTTTGGCCGTTTGGGGGCAGGAGGGGCGGTTTGCGTAGGAAGGGAGGGAGAGGGTGGGGCCGACCCGAGAGACGGGGGAGAAAGGCGGCTTAGCAGAAGGCACCCAGTGGGTCTCGAAGTTGACAGTGCGGAGTTCTAGCCCTCACCCTCGCGACTCCAGAGTCAGCAGGTCTAGAACCGAGGCCCAGACACCTGCTTTAAAACAAAGGGTACTGGGTGTTCGGCCCAGTCTTTGCACTTCGGGGGCCGTGGTGCTAAGCGAGGACACATGAGGCTGCCCAGTCGCCTCTGCAGTCCTCACCCACTGTCCCCCAGGCGCAGTGGGGGCAACGAGCTCCAAGCCCGCGTGCTGGGCCCTGATGAAATCTTTGGGTCACCTCAAGGGTGGCCCTTTGGGCCACCTTGAGGCCGCAACATTGAGCATAGAATTGCACTAGAGCTGCTTCTGACACAGGCCTGGCCTCCTGTGTGGGAGAGCTCCATGTCCTGTCCCCACCACCTGCAGGCAGAGGGAGGGCCTGAACGGGCGCAGCAGCAAGGCCCCGCCGCTCTCCCTCCAGACAGGACGAAAGGCCAGGCCAGGGGCCCGAGCCCATGCGGGGCAGACGAGCCCCCCATTTCCACCCGGGTGAGGGGCTGGGGGTCCTGTGAGCTGGAGCCACCGGCCTTTCCCCAAAGCCCACTGCAGCCCCCTCCCCTGTGAAGCTTCCTTGACCCCCACACCTTCTGGGATGGCTTGTTCCTCTGACTGTCAGCCGTGCTATCAGTAGCACTAGGGGACGGATCTCGGGTCCCGGTCTCTCTGGCGGCCCGTGCGTCCGCTCGTCTCTGCGGGATCGTTATCTCTGGGTCCACTTCCCTCCTCAAACCCCATCCCGCCCTCAGCCCTCAGCTCCAGCGGGGACACGGGGGACTCTTGCTCCTTCTTTACTGAGTGACCAACTGGGGAAGCAGCTAAGGGTGCAGGGACATCTTTTGACCTAGGAAGCCTGCCTCCCACCCTCGAAGAGTTCCCAGGGAAGACGGCAGGGCCTCTCCCGAGGGAGGCTTGGCGTCTGGGGACGAAGGCCCAGGTCCTCTGTCTTTCCTGGGGGAGTGCGGCGGCCGTGCTGGGCAGGCTGGCCTGCTCCTCGCCCGCTTGTCCCCGTGCGTGTGTACTCGCGGCACGTGCGTGCCCAGCACACCTGACCGCGGGGCGGGGGGGGAGTGGGGGGGTTATTGCGGAACAGGCCATGCAGATAACGTTCAAGGCCGCGCTCTTGCCATCCTGCGGAGACTTATGGCCATCTGGAGGAGAGGAGGCGGCTGGGAGCTCTGAGGGCTGAGGTTTGCAGCTGCACTGATGTCAGAGGCTGCCATTGCCTCGGGGCCTGGTGCTGGGTGACCTCGCTCAGGGCCAAGGCTCCCTTCCTCTCTTCCTCATCCTTCCCAGACTGGGTGACTAGTTAACTCTTACTGTCCCTCGGAGCAGTACCGTGGGGAGGGAGTTCTGGGCATCGCCTCCGTATCTGGCTCTGCTTTTTGGTGACGACAGAGCTCCCAAGGCGGGAGACCGGGTAGGCACAGCAGGTCAGGAGGGAGGAGACGCAGAGACCTGGCTGTGGTGGCACAGAGTGCTGGAGAAGGCGGCCCCGGGGCCAGGGAGGAAGGCAGGGCTTTGGGGCAGAAAACGGGACTCCGTGCATCCATCCATCCACCCAGCAGTCCTGCACGGAACGGCCTCTGCGTAGCTCTGCAATTGTGACCATGTGGATTGGGCCCCGTGGCCCAGTGTGGACAGCTGGAGAGCAGATGAGGAGTGTGGGAAGCACAGAGGGAGGAACACCTAGTTCCCCAGCGGAGGGAGGGAGGAGCATTGGGGACGGCTGCTGGGAGGAAGCAGCATTTGAGTTGGCTCTGGAAAGGGTGGTTAGAGTCAGCTAGGTTTGTGGTGGGCGTCGGAGATAGAGAGAGAGGAAGGGGCGTTCCAGGTAGGCAGGTGGCCAGCAGCCAGGAGAAAGGCTCCGAGGGCTGAGAGCTGGCTGCTTGGGAACGCGGGCTGTGCGGTGTGGCCATGGGTGTCACGCAATGCCTGTTGGTCGTGGGAAGATTCCTCTGCCGGCTCCCAGGAGGCAGAGGCAGAGGCTGAGGCTGGGCAGGGGGACCTCGAGCTTATGTGGCTCCGGCTCAGAGGGGGTGCAGCAGCTCCCACCCTTGGTTTCCTGAGCTGGGGTCGTGACATTATGGTTGTCAGCAGCTCACTTCTTCAATCCGAACTTCCTTGCCTGTAACATAGGGGTATGTTTCTTTTCTTTTTCTTTTTGTAACCCTCTCAGGTGGGTTATAAGGTTTAAATGGGTGACGATGCATCATGAGCGCACCAGGCAAAGTCCAGACTTCTTAGCATGACCCCAGTTTATCCCTGCAAATTCTCAGCTGGACTCGCGCCCAGCAGAGCTCAGCTCCCCGCTGCCGCCCTCAGCCCAGGCGCTCCTTCCTTCCGCACCCACAGGGACGCTCGCAGGCAGCTCCTCTCCAAGGCTTCCCGTGGGGCGCCCCCCTCCCTGCTCTTTAATTCGCATTCGGTACTTTTTCTTTCCAGCCCTTTTGGTAAACGTGTATCACGGTGTCAATAAGACTGTTGCTGATTCTCCTTTATTTCACATCTCCGTAAACCTGTACATCTACACGTAAAAATGTAACCTGTCACGGACCTGTCAGCTGCAGAAGGACCCGGGCCCTTTCCTGTTAGCGTTGGACTCTCTAGTGCTTAGCACAGTGCTCCATCATTAATAGACACTGAATACATGTCTGATAAATGACTGAGAAGCACAGAGGCTGGCACTCTGTAGATTCTCAATAAATACTGGTTTTCTTCCATCTCTCTCTTTTTTTTTTTTTTTTGAGACAAAGTCTCACTCTGTCACCCCCCCCACCCCCTCCAACCTCCACCCTGCCCCCCGACTAGAGTGCAGTGGCATCATCATAGCTCACAGCAACCTCAGACTCCTGGGCTCAAGCGATGCTCCTGCCCCAGCCTCCCGAGTAGCTGGGACTACAGGTGAGCGCCATGACATCCGGCTAATTTTTTCTATTTTTAGTAGAGATGGGGTCTCGCTCTTGCTCAGGCTGATCTCGAACTCTTGGCTTCAAGCAATCCTCCTGCCTCGGCCTCTCAGCGTGCTAGGATTACAGGCGTGAGCCACTGTGCCCGGCCTCTTCCATCTCTTAAGGGTGGCCAGCCTGGGGCTGAGGGTGCTCCCCGGGCTGTGTATGGGGTCAGCGTTTATTTACCGTTAAAGGAATGAAGGTCTCCGGAAGGACCACTCTGAGCAGGCAGCACGAAGTTAAGGCAAACCAACCTCGGTGGGCTTGGGGTAATCACCGCTTACCTCCCTTAGAAGTACATTTTATGCAATTCAGCACTTAAATTCCTTAATCGGAGTCAGTCATCATTGTTTCACAAGTATCATTGTTATTTGCACAAAGGAGATTGTAAGTATAGATTCATCGAGAGTGGGAAGTATCCCCCTAGATCCCAGGAGATTATAAAAGCTGGCACGAGCACTCCTGTGCCGGGCACCACGCTAAGCTCTTCACACAGGTTGTCTTCGCAACAACCATCCAAGAAGCTGCTACTGTTATTACCCCTATTTTTTTTTTTTTTTTTTTTGAGACAGAGTCTCACTCTGTTGCCCTGGCTAGAGTGCCGTGGCGTCATCCTAGCTCACAGCAACCTCAAACTCCTGGGCTCAAGCAATCCTACTGCCTCAGCCTCCCAAATACCTGGGACTACAGACATGCGCCACCATGCCGGGCTAATTTTTCTATATAGATTTTTAGTTGTCCAAATAATTTCTTTCTATTTTTAGTAGAGACGGGGTCTCGCTCTTGCTCAGGCTGGTCTCGAACTCCTGACCTTGAGCGATCCACCCGCCTCGGCCTCCCAGAGTGCTAGGATTACAGGTGTGAGCCACCGCGCCCAGCCTATTACCCCTATTTTACAGATGAGGAAGTTGAGGCACTGAGGGGTTAAGCAACTTGACTGAGTTCAAAGAGCCAAGTGAAGAAACCAGGATGCAATACCTGGCAGCCTAGTCTGTGCCCTTGGTTCTACTGCTTTACTTTTTAAAATCTCAGGGCTCTCTCTGAAAAATGGGGCTAAGAGCTGTCTCTCCTCCTAGCACGTGCCTGGCTGGCTTATAGTAATCTCTCAACAAATTTTAGGGTGATGGGTGACTTAACTATCAAATTCTGTGGGTACCCCTTGTTTTCCCCTTCACCCACCATTTCAAGCAGGTAAACCAGACTTTAGATTTCCTGGCCCAGGGATTTTGGCAGAGAACATAGTCAAGGCTTTTGGTCTATTGTAATCGCCTGAAGGCAGGGGGGCTGAATTTAACCTTCCAGATATTTCATTTGACCCCCACACCATTTTAAGGAAACTTTGAAATCGTTGCCAACATAAACTGTAGGGACAGAAAACGGATTCGTGCCATGCAGGGCCCAGGAAAGGAGGAAGAAGTCAAATACAAAAGGCGCAGGGGCCATGAACATATTCCGTATCTTGGTCTTGATGGTGGTTACGTAACTAGACGTAGTTGTTAAAACTCATAGAACTGCACACTAAAAAGGTTGAATTTTACTGTATATAAATTATATCTCAGTAAACCAGAAGAAACTGGGTCTTGGCGATGGATTCCTAGGCAGTGCGGGTTCCCAGCCTTGACGTCCGCTGGCAGTGAGCCCCCTCTCTTCCCATTGGCCAGGCCACTGGCTACGTGGGCCCTGACACCACTCAGTTTCCTCAGTTTCCAAAGCAACAGCACTGAAGGTCATTTTCTACCCTTGGGTCCAGCCACGTGGCTGAAGTCAGGGGGCGGGGGGC